TGCACGAGCATGAATATGTGTATATGTACATTATAAGAGTGCTATCAAGGTGCAAAGAGAAGTGGCGCTTTTATTAACTAAAACGCTAATATGTTATATAAAACTATTAATATATCAATACCTTAATTAGCAATTATAAAATATAAAGTATGGCTTAAATTTTAATATAAAGTAGTTCTAATTTTTTGTTCTAATAATTAAAAACTTAAAAATTTTGAAAAAAAGTTACAACTCAAAACAAAATTTAAATTTTAAAGCATAAATAAACTAATGAAGTTTCAAGTTTTTGAAGTTTCAAGTTTTATAAAAATAAACTAAATTAATTCAGTAGCACTTTATTTACTCTCACTAAACTATGAATCAGATTGATCACTTTGTTGCAACACTTCAAAGCATGCTTTAGCGAGGTGAGTGTCACGCGCTTCGTTTCGCTTTTCACATGAAACACATTTAAAAACTGCGTATATGCTTTTTCAATAATTTTTCTTTGATTTTCAATTGGACTATAGACTTGAAGAGCTCTTGTTTAACGAGATAAGTTAATGAGCCGAATATAAAGAAAATTTTGACTCATGTTGATTAATGAACTGAACCAAATAACACTTGTGCTCCCTTAAGCTCTGCATCCCCTACCTATGATTTCTTTTGTTGAGCTTAGTAATAAAGTTTGTAAGTGCAATAATATATTTTATACTACCTGGATCTAGAGAGCTTGCATCTCGTAATTATCATATTTTATGCGATTATTGGTACCTTTCTTTTAATACATTTTATTTTGTAGGTAAGGAATGTCATGATAGATAATATTGACAAAGTCCTTGACAGAGGTGACCGTTTGGAATTGTTAGTTGACAAAACTACTAGCATGCAAGGCAATACAATCCGCTTCCGAAAGCAGGCTCGTCGTTTCAGAAATACCGTGTGGTGGCGGAATGTTAAACTCACGTAAGAAAAATCTGTAAAGTTTTTGTCCCCAATTATCATGGTTTGTCTTGTTTTGTATGATGCCTGTTATGCTCCTTGAGTGGAGCTTTGGTGAGTTTTTTTTGTGTGAACTATGCTCAACTGTGGATATGGCTTTCCATGCATGCATGTGCTTGGTTTGTGGACGTAGATATATATATACATATATATTGTATGTTTGTCTATATGTGTGCGTGTCTCTTTCTGTCTGTGTCTGTCTATGTGTGTCTGTTTCTTTTTGTGTGTGTGTGTGTGTGTGGGTCTTTGTGCTTGTCTCTATCTTTGTGTGCATGTCTGTATGTGTCTCTGTGTGTGTGTGTGTGTGTGTGTTTGTCTGTGACTTTTTAATAATTAGCTTTTTTTACTCCCTTGATAAGCATAAAGCAGTAATGATTTCTATTTTTCTGTAAATTATTTCTTTTGGCGACAATGCGCATTGTAGGGGTCTCACTTCTTGCATAACGCCCTCCACCCCAAATCTCATCCATGACGATATTGTACTTTGGTTACTAAAGCTATATGAATTTACATGTTTTAGCTTGCATGAATTTCATGTCTAAAGACTTCTGTTATCCTCCTCATCATCAAATCTTCAAACAGTATGAGGTTGGGTGCATGAAATATTATTTTTTTAATTTATTTATATTGAGTGTTTTATAAGGTGCCAACCTCAATCTTTGGAAATTATTTTGAATAAATTCTATCCATTTTGTTGTAGTCTACTCCTTTCTAATTCTTCATTTTGAATATCTACCCATCGTTGGGCATGTACAAATCCCCAAAAGCCTATGTGCAATTAGCTTATCTTTAATAGATCTCATTCCAACATTATTTCAATATAATCATATATTAATCTATCCTTTTTCGTTTTTTCACACATCCTTTATAACATTCTTGTTGTTAGATAGTCAACAAGTGTGTCCATAAGAGGTCTCGTGGTCTCATTGAGGATTCAATGTTGTGAACATACGATTGAGGCATGATGAGCTTTGAGAATGGCCCGTGAAAGTGAGGGAACAAAAAAAAGGAAAGGAAAAGAAAGGTAGAGATGAAGAAATCGAGAGAAAAAAAAAATTAAAGAGAGAGGGAATAAGAGGAAAAGAAATAGACAAAGAGATAAGAACATAAGAGATTGGGAGGAATGACGGGAGGGGGAATGTTTGGGATCAAATTTTGTTTCTTTTGCTTATGTAGAATAAAAGGTATGAAAATTATTCATCAGAGCTTGAAAATAGTTGAATTATTATGGCAGTTTGAAAACTATGAAAATTATAATGAGAGCTTTTTATAATTATTAAAATTATCATGAGAGGTATATGAATTTATTGAATCATTATGAGGGGTTTTTCTTATAAATGGAATTGTCATGTGAATATTTAATATTATTTTTGTGCTAAATTTGTAATCCATCTTTATATGATTTGAAAAGAAGATCAAGTGAAGATTTGAAAATATGACACACAATAAGATGAAATGGAGAAAAGGAGTCATATAGCCGACCCCACTTAGCGGGATAAAGGCTTGTTGTTGTTGTTGTTGTAAGTTTTATTTGAAATTTCCTTGAAGTCTCATTTATTTGAAGACAAATTTTTTGCATGAGCTTGAACAGCAATGTGTTCAAGGTTGGAAGTACATTGCTCTAGTAATAGTTTTAAAGGAGGAGACCACTAAGTTTAATCTATTTAGCTATTCAAGTCTACTAAAAATGCATTCCATTTCATTCCATTCTCTTAAATAGTACATGAGGTTTTTATATAGCATATACGGCAGAGTGAAGAGAAGAGGCTGATTGTCGAACATGAAAAAATACAGCCATTATTATATTTTTAAAATTGCTTTGGAACATGCCATGGCCATCCATATTAAATATTTCTCATCTTTCAAGTAGTTTTACACCCATTGTGGAACCATCTTAAGTCACAACTTTTTTTTTTTTTCCAGAGAGCTGATTATATATTAAATATATTAAACGCATGTTGCAGGGCTGCGCTGATTCTCATCCTTCTGATCATAATATATGTAGTGGTTGCATTTGTCTGCCATGGCATCACACTCCCCAGTTGTATCGGGTAATCACTTTTTTTAATTTTTTTCTTAAATCTTGTAATATTTTTGCAAAGAAAACACAGACAATTAACTTAATATAGTCTGGACTTTATATTTTGAAAATCATTGTTATTCAGGTGGTGATTTTCTCATGTATGTATAAATATTTCATTTCTCTCTTGTGTGCTATCATTAATGTTGCAGCCAATATACATACCTATCCTATGATCTTTACTGATGCCTGAATATTATGATGCTATGCAAACCTTTAGCAGAGATTTTTTAATTTAGTGCCATTTACACACATACCACTCAATTCTTATGTATTTGCATAACACTTAAATTTGCTCTTTTTTTAATGTATTTATAGCACCCAAATCTTTCATATGTACCACCATTTTAACTTTCAAAAAGTGAAATAATGTAAGGTGGTATGTATGTAAAAATTAAAGTTTAGGTTTTAGATATGTAAATACACAGGAAATGAATGGTATGTATGTAAATATTCCTAATTTATATGGCCAGCGAAGCACTGGTAGCAGTTGTGCTGATTCTCTTGTATGTTATTGGAATTATTCTTGTGAATGTTCAAAATTTTAATTTTTATTGTCTGATAGTTTACTTGTTTTTCTGTTGTGTTTATTTTGAAGATTTGATACGATCATGTCGGCATCAAGACTTTTTAATAAAGATTAACTTTTTGTTCATAAACGGCTCGTGTTCGGCTCGCTAAGCAAATGAGCCAACACGAACACATTTTTTGAGCTCGAAATATAAACGAGCCGAACACGTGCCTGGGCTCGCTCGTGTTCGGCTCGTTTACACCCCTAACGGCAAGTTGTGCCCCGAAAATGATGTAGACAATAGCACAGAGATGTTGGTGCGGTATCTTTGATTAGGGTGGGATTAAGATTGGAGGATGGAGACGATGACATGAGCTTATGCCTCCAAATTACCATTCAAAATCCATCACCAACTTGAGATGGCTAGCGCGAGTCATGAATTCAACGGCAGCATGAACAGAAGTAGGCCAAAGGGAACAACATGAAACACTGTATTTGAAATACATAAAATTTGTGCAAAATTAGAATTTATAAGGGGAAAAAAAAAACTTTTAATGTATTACAATTTCTCTATCAAAATTGTATGTACTTATCTTACTTTTAATCAAATACTTAAAAACATTAAAACTCATTTGAGAAATTAAAGTATGCCTTTTAAAAAAATTTTACACCCCTAAATAAAACTCAAATGTCATTTTTCTTACTCGATGCAGTTATCTTCAATTCATATGAGTCCCTCCCACTTGAAGGAAAAAATTATTGCATACGAACACCGCATTTAAGCTACACTTTTCTATCACACAAGAGGACTGATGCATTCCTCCACTTTGCCAACCAAATTGAATTCTATTAATAACATTCCCATCTATATTACTATCACGTTGAACAATAAGCTTGAGATATCTAAAATGTTCATACTTTTTAATGATTTGATCAATCATTGTTACAAATCTGCCATTCGAGCTACTACAACTAAAATTACATTCTATATTTTTAGTATTGGTTCTACTCAAACAAAGAACTTTAGACTCCAATGTCGAACTCCATAATTCAAGTTGTATTTCAGTTTTTTTTTTTAATTTAAGTGGGGCCCACCGAAATACATTATGGTCGTAGATCACAGTGATCTACGGTCAGGATCGGACACCGCATGCAGAGATGCAAGCGGGGTCCGCACCCAATAATACCTTTTATCCACAAGAAGTATATCATCAACAAAAAACATACACCAATGAACATCTAAATTTTTTCACTTGAAGGAACCGTCTTTATTGAAAAATGAACAATAATTATTTCACTTGAAGGAACCGTCTTTATTGAAAAATGAATTCCAATTTTCCATTAAAAAAAAAAAAGAAAGAAAGTTGTGCTCTTCCTTTACCAAACCCTTGTCGCCGTCCCAATTTTCTTTTATTGATTTGCCTAAAACTTTCGGACTCCTTACCAGAACAAAAAAAAAAAATTATCTCTTTTGCTTTGGCCAATTGGGGACAAAGTTGAAACTAGATCATAAAGTAGGAATAGAGGGGATCGAGACATACAAAAACCAACAAGCCATACATCTCCTTTGCAAAGAGTGGTGCCAAGGTTGACAACAAGGTTTCTATCTTACATTCTTGAATTTGTTGAGATTACCAAACCCTTGTGTTTGATGAAGTTTATATATATAATCTATTTGATGATGGTTGCTTAATAATTTTCTCTAGTAGTGTTATACAAAAGAACTTTGTGTACTCATTAAGGTGATTAGTGGAGGTGTTTAAGTGGTCTACGGGTACCGTGATTTTTACTCTAATTGTAGATTTTTTTTCAAACTAAAATTTGGTGCTGTTTAGTCTTGTTTTTCGTTTCATCAATTTCTGTTGTGTGCTGCTTGTGGTGTAGTGACGTTTTGGCTTGCTTTTTCCAACAAGTAGTATTAGAGACATGCTTCTCTAGGGTTTATCTTGTGCAAGCCAAATGGAGGAGTCCATTCATAACAACAACACAACGATTAAGCTTACGATAGTCAATTACTTGATTTAGAAGTCACATATGGAGGACTTGGTTTGTTGTTTGGACCTAGAAAATGCACTTTTGGATTGTAAGGGAAAAACAACTAAGATTTCTGATAAGAATTCTGATTTAGAAGTCACATATGGAGGACTTGGTTTGTGGTTTGGACCTAGAAGATGCACTTTTGGATTATAAGGGAAAAACAACTAAGATTTCTGATAAGAATTCAATTAATTTGAATAGAAAATCCATTGACAATAGTGTTTATCAGCATGTGCTAATGAGACAAATGCCTGTAAGGTGTGAGAAACTCTAAGGAGTTGTACGAAAAGCAAAATGCACATAACAAGACATTTCTTTTCATAAAATTGGTGTATCTAAGATACACTGATGGGACTGCAAATTTTCAATCAATTAAATATTTTTTAGGTTATTGAATAAATTAGAAATTATGGACATGGGTTAGAAGATCAGATCCCTACATTGTGGTTGATTAGTTTGTTGTCGGACAATTGAGAGACTCTTGTTGTTTTTGTTAGAAATTCTGCTCCAAATGACATTCTTACCTTCAAGATGGTGAAAAAAAGTATGTTGAATAAAGAAAATATAAGAAATGAGTGAGGGGTAGCAATATAGAGTCAAGTGTTAGTTTCAAATAAATGAGGTATAAGCAAGAGCATAAATCATAAGGTTAGTGAAAGCTATGATAGATCACGAGAAACCTCTCAAACAAAGAATGAGTTCACATGCTTTAACTGTGATAAAATAGGGCATAAGCGGGCTCAATGTAGACTTTTAAACAAAGTACAAAAGCAGGAGCGAAAAGAAAAAAATTATCGTAATATAACGACTGTCGTGGATGCATATTATACCATTCTTTGTGATACCAACAATATTAATCTCATTTGTCAGGATTCTCATTAAGTATCTTCATATCATGCAATTCTCATTGTGATGCATTTATTATATATAATGAGGGTGAGTTTGGTCATGTGAAGATGGGGAATGATGCAAAATGCAAAGTTATGGGCATGAGTGATGTCTACATGATTATTGATGTTGGATGTCGATTGGGTCTAAAGAATTTAAGCATGTTCCTAAGATCTACTTGAATTTGATCTCTATTGGTGCATTCAATGATGAAGAATACCATAAATGGAAGCTCACTAAGGGTTTATCAGTGGTTGACTGAGGAAAGAAGCATGGTTCTCTTTATTTGAAGGAGGTTCAATCTTACAGTGGAGAAGTGAGTGCAATTAATGATTCATCCACTCAACAACAGCATATGCGACTTGGACACATGTGTTAGATAGGAATGAAGAAGCTCTTTCACAAACATCTTATTGCTAACATGAAGTCTACACAAATGGTGCATATTTTACTTTTAAATAACATAATGTAGCTTTTAAAACTCTACCTCCATCTTAAATAGCTAATGTGTAGGATATGGTGCATATTGATATATGTTCTATAATTACTAGGAGCCTTTGTGGCACTCGTTATTATCATAATTTCATTAATGATCATTCCAGGAAAGTATGGGGGGTTTACACATTGAAATATAAAGGCCGGGATTTGGGTTTCTTCAAGATTTTTCAGGTGTCAGTAGCGAGGGAAATTGTAAAAAATATGAATGTGTTTGTTCAGATAATTGTAGTGAGTATAGGGGCCCATTTGAGAAGTACTATAGAACTCATGTGATCAAACTTAAGGAGATAGAGTAAAAAACTCTTCAGCATAATGGAGTTGCTGAGTGGACGAACTGCACAATTGCAGATTTTGATAAATCAATTGAGTTAAAGTCTAATAGTGAGGAACATGTTGATTCAACTACAACTCGTCCAACTATAGTGCATAATAATGATCATAAAGGTATATATGTATATGCACCTCTTTTAGCTGATGATGATCTGATTGATGAGAATATATAAGGGCACTAGTTGAACCTCTATTAAGGAGATATAGCAGAGAGAGACAACTTTCTTGGAGATATTCAACCAGCAAATTTGTAATGCTTACTAAATGGGGAGAGCCAGAGACTTATCTGGAGCTTTGGTCATGTAAGAAAGAAGAGTGGTTGAATGCCATGAAAGATGAGATAAGATCCTTGCATGAGAACCACACTTATTATCTGGTGAAACTACCAAAGAGCATGAAAGCTTTAAAGAACAAATATGTGCTCAAATTGAAGCCAAAGGAGAACTACTCACAACCAAAATACAAAGCAAGGTTGGTTGTGAAAGGATTCTATGAGGCAAATGGTGTTGGTTTCGATGAAATTTTCTCACTGGTGATGAAGATTAGTTTAATTTGAGTTATACTAGGATTTTTTGGAGGTGGAACAACTTGATGTAAAGATGACCTTTCTTCCCAGTGATTTAGAGGAGCATATTTGCATGGAGTAGCTTGAAGGTTTCAATGACAAAGAAAAAGAAGATCTTATTTGCAGATTGATAAAAAGTTTATACAAGTTAAAGCTAGCACCAAGGCAGTGGTACATAAAGGTTGATGCTTTTATTAAAACAAATGGATACATTAAGACTACTTTTGACCATTGTATTTTTGTAAAAAAAGTTCTATAATAGTGATCATGTAATTCTCTTACTATATGTTGATGATATATTGATTGTTGACCATGACGGGATCAAGATTGAGAACCTCAAGAAAGAACTTAGCAACTCTTTTGCCATGAAATATTTGGGTCAGGTAAAGAAAATACTTGGAATGAACATTATTCATGACAGGAAGAAGAAAAACTATGTTTATCTCAGGAGAGGTACATAAAGACAGCTCTTGAAGGATTAAATATGATCAATGTTAAGCCAGTTGTATATAGACTTGTAGGACAATTTAACTTAGCACTAAATAATGCCCTATAAGTGAGAATGAGAAGTAAGAAATTAAGAACTGCCTTATGCATCCATTGTGGGTAGCTTGATATATGATATGGTATGTACAAGGCTGGATATTTCTCATGTTGTTAGCATTGTTAGTCATTTTTTTATCCATGAAAACAGTGTTGAACAGTAGTTCAGTGGATTTTTAGGTTTCTAAGAGGTTCTTCCAAAGTGTGTTTATGTTTTAGAAATGATCATTCTATTTTGCATGGTTACACAGATGCAAATATGACAGGTGATGTGGACTTGAAGAAGTCCGCTTGGTCATGCTTGGTTACTTTGCAGGGGGACTGGTTTTATGATAATCTAAACTACAAAAGTGTGTGACTTTATCAAGTATTGAGACATAGTATATTGCAGTCATAGAAGCTTGTAAAGAAGTCCAATGGATGAAGAATTTCTTACAAGAGTTGGGCCATAAGCAATCTAAGTTTGTCTTGTATTGTGATAGTTAGAGTGCAATTCATCTCACCAGAGATTCCACATGCCACTCACATTCGAAGAAAATTGATGTGAGGCATCATTGGATTTGTGATATGTTAGACTCAATGATGTTAGTGCTTCAAAAGATACACACAAATAAGAATGGTTTTGATATGAAAACAATAACGTTACCGAAAGAGAAGATGATAGTACGCTGAGAAATAACAACTATTGGAGAGCCTTTTCTTTACAAAATCAGAAGGGGGAGATTGTTGTGGTTCCCTCTCATGTGAAGGCGATCGCCTTCATTGAAAATTAAATTTCAGTTTTCCACTTAAAAAAAATTCTGCTCTAATTTTACGAGACCCATGCCATCATCCAAGTTTTTTGTATTGTTGTACTAAAACCTTCGTGATTCCTTACAAGAACAAAAAAAAAATGTCTCTCTTTTGCTTCGGCTAGTCGTAGAGAAAGTTGCAACTGAAGCGAAAAGGAGGAATTGTCAGGTTCGAGATATACAAAAATCAGCAAGTTGTACATATCATTTGTAAACAGTGGTGGCAGAGTGAAGGACAAGGTTTGCATCTTGTATTCTTGAATTCGCTGAGATTACCAAACTATTCTATTTGATGAAGTTAATATATACCACCTATTTGCTGATGATTGACTATTAATTTCCTTCAGTAGTGCTCTACAGAAGAACTTTCTGTACATATAAAGATGATTAGTTGAGGTGTTTAAGTCTATTTAAGAGGTTTTCCATGCTAAAATTTGTTCGTGTTTAATCTCGTTATTTGTTTCATCAATTTCCATTGTGTGTGTACTTGTGGTGTAGTGACCTTTTGGATTGCTTTTTCAAACATCAATCCCTTGATAAGCACTAATAAACCTAGTTATAAGTAGTGGTTTAACTAAGTTGACTTGGAGTACTCACCCTTAATTTAAGCTTATTTAATTAAATATAATTAAACTTAAGCCCAATTCTATTTCATATATTTGAACAAGCTAACTAGAAACTCATTAATCATAAAATAATAATAATAATTTTCAAATCAAGTATCTATTATAGTAAATTTATGAAAAGAGTAATTTTTTTAATAATAAAACTTTATTTGAGAGATTAAAAAAAAAACAAAGAGATGGATTATATATATATAAAATAAAAAAATTTAATCAAAACTTTGAATACTAAGATAATTTAAATATATTAGATATTAACAAAATTTCAGAAAAGCTAGTTCACAAATTAACGAATCAAATTTGAGTTAACTCAAGCTCAAACCTACAATACACCGGGCTTAACTTAAATTATAATTATTTTAGGTCATTGTAATTCAAGCACTATAAAATTTTTCATAACTCCAAGCCATTGCTCCCACATGTTGCTACAATGAAAAATGTCATGAGCACAATGGGTATGTATTTAGATTATTACACGCCAGGTCTGGAAGATGATACGCCCCGACAACGCATGGTATGATGAAATGAATTGAACTTGTTGTGTTCTAAAAAACAAAAAAGTATGCAAGTAATAACAAAAAGAAATTAAAAAATAATTTTATTTCTTAAATAAGAGTAATTGATATAGCTTAAAAAGATGAGGCAACTGAAAGAAACAAAAATAAAAGTAAAGAAACAACTATCTCAACACAGAAAGAAAATACAATTATCAATACTACATTGAAAAATACCAAAATTAAATCTAAAGCTAGGCAGTCTTCTCTGGTGGAGACAATCCGGTATGAGGCTAGGTCAAACCTATTATATAAAAATAACAAGTGATTTTAGCAATCAAACTCAATAAATAACAATTATTTATTAAAAATAAACAACAAGGAAAACATGACATGCAGTATGTCCAATAAATATGGCAATTTATTATGTGTATACATAATTTGCAAAGACTATCACATGTTTATGATCATGAATAAGTGTGACTTGACCACATACACTTTTATGTAGATATTTAAATGCCACAATATTAAATATTTTGTATAGATATGACTCATCAATCATTTAACACTACATGATAAGATTTATATATAGTCGGTTTATTACGACACCCTGAAACAAGAAAAGCTAGGCACAATCTCATGGAAATCCACTAATTTCTCTGAGGATTCGTCGGTCCAATTAGCAGTTATAAAAGAGTTTAAAACCAACATAATAATATTGTAATATTAATTATATTTCATGCATCACAATCAAGCCACGGGAATATAATGACAAAATCTCAATCATTATTTATAAACAATTATGAAACTGAAATAATGAGATTTATTACATCAAAGATATAAAAGAAAGGATGAATATTAAAATTATGAAAGTTGAATAATTAAACAAGAGATTAAAAAGCCACTTCTAAGTATTCCAACGAATTGAATTAGTTCTAACAAGCAGTCCTACATAAATTAGAATCCAAAATATAAATAATTAATAAATTAGAATCCAAAATATAAATAATTAATAAATTAGAATCCAAAATATAAATAATTAATAAATTAGAATCCAAAATATAAATAATTACGCAATTTAATCTTCATTATTTATTAGATGTAATGGAGTAAACATATATTATTACTATTTTATTTATATTTTTGAAGAAAGTATGAAACTAATTAAGGTTATCAATACCTTGGATTGGCATGATAATCAGATAATTAAAATAAGATCTCTCTCTCTCTCTCTCTCTCTCTATCTTTCTCTCTACATACACACATACATACATACATACATACATACATATATATATATATAATTTATTAAAAACTGTGAAAAATACAATTGTATTAAAAGAAAAAAATGAGGACAAAGCTTGATTGACAGAGGAAAGAGGGAAAGAGGGGGAGGGTTGCAAGAGCCTATACGAGAAAAAGATACATTCAACTTTATTAAAATTAATAATATTAATATTCTTGATGTAATATTAAATATTTGAGTGATTTGCAAATAGATAAGTTCATATATCATATATGTGAAGTCATAAGAATCGTGTTGTGTGCATGTCAATGCCCCCAAAAATCATACATAACCACTCCAATTTACAATAATCAAACTCCCACCTAATGAAAAGAACGCAGCAGCTCCAGGCACTTCTTTTGATTTCACTTGTGCTGAAAATTAAATTAAAATAAAATAAAATAAAAATTAAGGCCATTTAAGATTACTTATATATATTTTATATTGTTTATATTTTAATTTGAAACAAAATACATTTATTAAATTAAAATAAAATAAAGTTATTTATAAAAACACTTCAACATTCAAATAATTATTTTAAGCATTTATGAAAAGATGATCATTTATTTATTAAATAAAAAATTACAAAAAAATGAGTAAAAAAATATACTGAAATATATTTTTAAAAACAAAATAAAAAAAATAAAATTGAATCTAAACAGGCCCTTAATGAAGATAGACGAACCTACAAAGAGTTAATTTAAGAAAAAAAGCAAGAAAACAAAGAACAAAATCTAAGACCCTGAAAATCATGAAATAATGAGTATAATTGCATCTTCATTTCTTCACCAACAAATAAAATTCTATCCCCAGTTATGTGATAACCTGTCAATTACCATTGCTTTCATTCTCAACTGATAGCTCTATTGGATTTTCTTCATACCCTAAAAAAAACTATTACAATACTATTGAATCTCTCCAGTTCCTATCTTCTTTAACTTATTTATATGGCACAAATTCATTGAAATCTACTTAAAATCCCACAGTTCTACCAGCTCAGATGACCACCTGGAATGCCTTGCAGGGGATGCAAATGTAAAACCATCACAATAATCATGTTGGCGACCGATTAAAGAAATATATATATATATATATATATAAGCCATGAAAATGAGGATGCTGAATTCACGAGTTACCTCTTCTATGTCGCATTATTGAACCATGGGCCGACAGCACCGTTCATGTGACCATTTCCGTGCACCCCAATGCCGTTCGGAACGACCGAAGGAGGGAGGCCGATGGTCGGTTGGGGCGGTGCAGAATATAGTCCGTGGAGATGTGGGAGTGTGTGATCACTTACGAGCGAGTTTCCGCTGCTTTTGCGCTGCTGCTGGAGCGAATGTATCTGCAGCAAACCATCCTGATGTATGCGAGCGAGCGTCTCGAGCTCGGGGGTTGACAAGGCTTCGACGCCCACGCCGTAAAGTGGGGCATGTCGTGTCATTTCTTCTCGAACGGAAGCTTCGAGGGATTGGATGTATTGCTGCAATAAAGATGAATTTAGGAGTAAATGCTAAAGATTTATGCAAAATGGAATGCAGAACACACTGAAGTCAAGAAGAATGATTACTAAATATATATATGAGATGGATTTCTATCTTTGATGAAAAAATAAAATCTTCAAGAACCATGAACTTGCTATTATTAGTTTGTACAAGGAGGAAAGGACCTGATAGCAGTGACAATGCGACTGTAACAATCTATTAGGTGGTTTAACTTGTATTAAAAAAGGAAGATTTACATACATATCACTCAATTACTATATATTTACATATCTAACACCTAAACTTCAATTTTAACATATATGTCACCATACCTATGCATGAAAAAGTGCATTTCACTTTTTAAAACTTAAAATAGTGGTGTTTTTTGAAGTACTATAAAGATTTTGAAATAAAGTTTAGTTGTCAGATATGTAAATACATTTGGAATTTGGCGGTATGCATGTAAATGCTCCAAAAAAGGAAACAACTTAAAATTTTTTTCAGATTGGAAAAGAATATCAATTGTGATACAATACCCGGCACGCCTGCAATTTGGCCTCCATTCCATCGATGTAAGCTTCACATCGAGTGACTTGTGCCTCTTTCTCCCTCTTTTCTCCTTCACTTTGTCCTACTGTCTCCGTTAATCTCCGAACTTCATCTTCAAGAGATTGCCTGACTTCCTCACGACTAATTGTCTCTGTGGCATACCGTTTTAGTTCTTCATCAAACCTTTTTCGAGCAGCTTCTGCATTCTTCAATCTTTCAGCTAATGCATTCTTTTCCTTAAGAACCCTCTAAAACCAAAAAACTAAATTAGTACAAAACATTCTACTACAAGCACAATTTACATCATATAGAATATTACATAACTTGAATACTGGCACAAGAAAATACCCCGAGCAATTCTTTTGGAGTTTAGTTGCAAATATTAATGGCAATGTCAGTGATGAGGAAATGTCACCTAGATTATAATTTAAAAGAAAAAACAGAAGCAAAGATAGCTTGACATAAATGTACAAGAAATTTTTCTTGACCAATGAATGTCTTACAATTAACCATTGCAAGGAAAAAAAGAAAAATGGAATGATATTAACTAGAATCTGAATGGACTTTCGTTTGCTCTAGTTAAGTAACATCTTTAAGGGACATTTATATAAAACACCACACAATTCTTATGTGTTTACATATCTAGCACCTAAAATTTCATATTTACATACATAATACTACAATCTTTAATATCACATAAAAAATATCACCAACACTAACTTGATTCAAGTGATGTACACCTTTTCATGCAAAGGCTCATGAAACCAATGTGCTATGAATGTAAATATCAAACTTTAGGTGTTAGATATGTAAATACAAAGGAATTGTGTTATATGCATGTAAATTTTTCTAAATTTAATAATGAATTTTAATATAAATTTCTCTATATGATATAGTTTGCTCTCATAGATATATCTAGTCTGAGAAAGGCTTGCTCTACAGGAGTAACGCAATAGGATGAAGGGTAGAGGCTATTCAAGCCCAAAAGCGATGATTGACTTGTTCCTTTTCCAAAAGAATTTTTACATATTACTTAATCATTTACTATAGAGAATAATAGGCTTAGTGAATTCAATTAACATTTAGTTATTAGTTAAAAAAGAGAGCCGTATAGCAGGACATATAAATATTAGAAACTTGGAGATCGAAGCCAACCGTCATATTGACAACCAAAGACATTATAATAAAAACATTAGGGAATAATTTCACCTATGACCATTCTAAGTTATGAATAATTACAGAAGTAACACCCAACAAGAGAATTTCATCTCAAATAGTTTCAGTACATTAAAAAAAATGAAGCATTTCCTTCTCACTACATATCTTAGTTTTTTAAATCAATCTGATACCAGAATTAACCCATAAACAAATAGAAAAGCAAATTGTATTACTGAATTCCAATATGAAATTACAATAAAATAATATGGGAAATCTGAAATTGCAACAACACAATACTGGAACTAGAGATGGATCAAGGGTAAAGGTGGTGTCATTTAGGGGTTTTGAGCCCCAGGGTGATGGAAGGTGGCAGTTGACAAACAGGCAACAATAAAAATGGTCTGGATATCTGGCCGGCGGCAGGAACAACAGCAGTAGGGGCGGTTCTGGGTGACAGCTGCAAGGAGGAAGGTGTGGGATGGCTGAGAAGGTTGGTCCAGGGCTTGAGGGCAGTAGGGCGCAGGAAAAAAAGCAACTGGACTGCTTTTCTAGGGGCGGCAACAAGGGAAACAGCGGCGAGGATAAAGGGTATTGATGTAGAAGAGAGTGGGACAACAGTAGAAAAGAATACGCACCACCTTAGGATGAGAAGGGAAAAAAAGATGCCGACGACTGTCCCAAAACAAACACAGGGAAAAAGCTAAACCATAAAACACCAACAAAGCAAATATATAGTCATGGGTAACTATGAGTGGGTCCCACCCCAATTGGGCGGCATTCCCAAGGCAAACGAGGCTAGTCGGCCCTAACAAGCATTGGATCGAACCGGTCCCTGCATCAGTCTCCTAGGGTTGGGAGAGCATTGACCACATCCGCCAAAGCTTTTGACTCAAAATATGGAGTCAGGTCAACCATGTTGAAGATGGTGGAGCGATTGTACCCTCCCGAGATTGGAGGTTCTTTGACTATGTCTTTAGAAGCACCTGGATCTCACTGACGAATGCACTGTCCCACAAAACACCTTAGAAGATTTCCCAAATTATGAGTAACCATCTTTATCTGTCTCACCATCCATGGGCATATGGTTGAATTGAATTGGACCTTCGTGCCAAGGGTGCAACGCAGAGTCTTCCATAACTCAAATTTGGTTCTTTCCTCTCTAAGTGAAGTCAAGTTGAACTACCCATGATGGTGGCAAGCCCGACGATAAGCGATCGGTCAAGATATGCTAAAAACCTCTCAGTAGTGGTCACCCTATGCCTGATATTAGCTATTATGTCTTAGCATCCTCTAACATCACCAAAACTGATCAAACTGACACATCTCTCATGAAAAGAGTATCTATAATATCAAACTCCGCAGAAGGTATCCTAGATGAATAAGTGTTCTCAAACTCATCAGCTGAGTCTTGTGATCAAACTGCCTTGACCTTCTCAACAAAATGTGGCAGTAGTCTATGAGTACAACAGTACCCCGCATTTGGTCATGCAACTAATCCCCAAAAGAAAACTCTAAAAGAGATCTCATGTCAATGCTAACGATATTCCCCTTCTTCAACTAAGTTAGGGAATATGACTGAGAATGTCTATGAGTAGTTAGACTCAACTTGTCCACCATCTATGTAGACACTACATTCTCATAACTACCTTCATCAATGATGATGATGCACATATTTCACTTTACAATGCAAAGGGTATAGAAGATGTGTCGAAGCCACTGTTGCTCTCTCGTAGCCTCAATCCCTCAGTTTAAAGGACCCACTGAACTAGAAGCATCTCACCCTCATCAGTTGGAAGTTGTTACTCTTGCACATCCTCAGTATTTTCTCTCCAGTACCACTGTCCGCTTCTACTACACCCTACTAAGTGAAGGAGACAACTGTAGTATGACAACTAAAGGCGATGTGTCCAAGCTCATGACATCTAAAACACTTTCTTGTGGGCACTATGTTGAGTGTACTGCTCCTCTCAGGCTTCTTTCCAGTTTGATTAGCTCTATCTCTTTTTGGCTAGTTTTCACACCTTCCTCAAGTGCACTACTGGCTGTTCTTATTGTGGGTGATTGTTTGCATGAAAGTAGAGTCTTGATCTGTTTCTGCTATTCCTCCACCTTCAGGGTCAATGTCTGAACATCTCTCAATGATCAATAAGGCTGCAGTTGAATGCCATGGCTGATGGTTAACTTCAGGCCTCATAAATACTAGGCTATGGTGTTCTTCCCTCTAGCTCCCTCGACTTTTTTTTAAAATATTAAAAAGAAAAAAAATAGTTGAGGGAGCAAGAGGAGAATGCCCTCAACTCACATTTCAGCATGAGTTGCTCAAACTCTGTTATGAACTCCTACACTGACAACTCCCTCTAAAGGAAATGATGTAGCTTCAAGAATATGTTTTGGCGGTAGTGGGGGGTAGATACTTCATCTACAATTCCTTCATCTTCTCTCATGTAGTGATATTGCTACTACCTTCTCTCCGCCTCATGCTCTATAGATTTTTCCACCATAGAGAGGTACACTTCTTTAGTTTTATGGTAACAAGTTTCACTTCCTATCAACTGACACCTCTTTATACTAAAAAATCAACTCAACAGTCTGCAACCACTCAATGAAGTCATCTAAATTCATTCTCCTCTTGAAATCCTATAAGCCTATATTTACTCTCATATCTCCATATACACCAAAAGGCATTCCATCACTCGGCCTCCTCTAATATTGAATCCCAAAACGTCGTGATCTATCATCCTCTTCATTAGAATCATCCCTACAGAAGGGATTCAAATTTTCCTCCCTCTCTTCGAATCTAGCTATCCTGATCGACGGCGATCTCTCCATGGATCCCTTCCTCAATTTCAACATGTCTTTGTTGAATACGACAGATTTCCTGTTGCATCTCTTTCATGATAAGTTCCCATTTGGCTTCTAAAATTTAACTCCTCATTGACATGGCCAGGGTTTAGTTTTGGGACATGAAAGGAGGGTGTATAGGGCTGCCTGGAGTTTGAAATTAATGATAATGAAAAATCAGCAATGAGAATTAGGGTTAGGCAAGCTTTGGCTATGATTCGATGGGTTTAGGTCACCCTAAGATGGAACTAGATGTCAAGTCCTGGCCTGGAGTTTGAAACTAACCAAAGCGGGGAACAAACAGCCGAACAATATTAATCAAAATTTCTATTTTTATTTTCTATCACTATTAATTAACGATCCAAAAAGTGAGCCACTACCAAAAAAAAAATTTAATTAATTAATTATTTAAAACATTATAAATTTACCTTAAGTCAAACTGTTTGCGTATTTTATAAACGTTTTCGCATCTATCATTCATCATTTAATCAAATAATCAAATCTAAAATTTTAGTTTAAAATAATAATGAGCTAATCGAAGCAAGTGAATATTCACATTCTTATACTACAATAACACAATGAAAAAGGAAACAATATACATGTTAGTTAAAATTTTAATAAATAAGTATAAAACATCTGAAACTTTATGAATATGATAGCTCATGATATTTCATAGCATTTAAGTTATTTTACTATATCAATAATATATCTATATCATTTTATATATGTACAACCGTCACAGGAGCGCTTTCTAAAAATTGTACTAGTTAAGGTGCTCAGTAGCAATATTTTTTTCTATTTACATGCAAAAGACTTTAGCATTCCCCCATTAACTTCATCATAGTCAAACATTCATATAAAAGTAGTATATATAGCCCATATTATTTATATGCATATCCTATTCAATTCAATATATATATATATATATATATATATATACATACGTATGTATATGTATATATACATACGTATGTATATGTATATATACATATACGTATGTATATATACATATATATACATATAGGTATGTATATATATAGATATATATATATATACATATCGTATGTACATATATATATACATACATATATATATATACATCCATACAAATACATATACGTATGTACATACATATATGTATGTCATTAATTAATGTATGATAGTAAATAACTACAAACATATGACATTCATGATAATATAATCAATAAGGAAAAGATTATATCAATCAAAATAAAGCTTGTATAAACAACAATAAACTGCTAATGATAAAATTGGTTAGGAAGAAACAAAAATCCACCATAGCTTAAAAATATGATTACTCGCTTTAATCACCGACGATTCGTCCTTTTCACTTATCTCCAATGAAAACTTAAAGTCAAATGCATAAAAAATTATTATTAATCTTATTGGTATTAGAAAAATTGCCTCTACAGTAACTTTTAGGTATCATATAATAAAAGAAATAATAATAATTATTATTATTATTCTTATGTTAAATCACATTAAATTTATTAAATGTAACATTAGTTCCTAAATTTACATTTTTTTAATTTATTATTTTTTTATTTTTATTTGCATAAAAAATGAATTACCACTTTTATATAAATTCAATTTAAAACAAAAGTAATACTTAACTACTTAAAAAAATAAATCCAAAACTAAACTTATGCCTCGTTTAGACCTTACCCGCACATATGTCAATCCTTGCTCATGATTAATGAACGAGTCGCTCAATACTTTTGTTCTGTGAAGGGTATGCATATAGCATTAAACATAAAAAGAAGTACAAAATCGTACAAAAAAAAAGCCCTCAACCTGTGCAAAAGAGGCCCTATCATTCTAGAGGATAACAAAAAGCATTGAGGATTCAAAAACCACATCAAAATAAAAACTATGTAAAACAACCCTTTGAGCACAAATGGGCAGCTCTATTGAGCTCCCTAGGAATAAAATGAAAAATCACCTTTCTAAAAAGAGTAAGAACAACAAGCTCCTCCCCAATAATCAACTGCAAATCCCAAAATTTCCTTTCTATGCTTTTACGAAGTAAATTGATAGCATTATTGTTATCCTCTTTTGTTCCAGTGCTTTGATGTCTTCTGCTCGATGCTTCTTCCTATATCCTTCCCTTTTTTTCTTTTCCTCCGTTGGTTCGGCTTAGTTTATCCCACATAGAATCACTCCCTTTTTCACCTCCTTTACACCAAAGTTGCAAGTTCCTTCGATTTGTTAGGTCAAGTGCTCTTCTCCTCCTTATGCACCAGAGCCACGGGTCGCTCGACACTTATGTCTTTTGTCTTCTTCGCACGACCACCTGGAAGCCTTGGCACTAAACAACATCGCGCTTATGCATGAACTGCTCCTTTTGGCTAGGGTTGGTCTTCTCCCACTTGGAAACTGTTGGAGTTGCTTCATCGTCGTCTCTTGGATGATGACCTCTCCTCCCACGGCCTCCTTCCACACATGCAAGTCTTCTTTTTTCCTTTCCCTTCTTCTGTTGCTTCTACTTCTCATCCTTCTCTCACTCTCAATCGCTCTGAGTCTCCTCCTTTGCTTCGAATGGGATAGTTCTCTTCAAAACAAAACCGTTGAGGCGTTTTGCTCTCACCTGAAACGACTGTATTGGTTGAAATTTCTACTAATAATAACATTATTATTATTTTTTTAATTGATTTATTAGCAATTACATTGAGGGTTGGGTTAGTTATGATACCAAATGATATCGAAATTAACCCAAACACCAACAAAAAAATAAATCGTATTACTGAATTTTCAATATGAAATTGCAACAACACAACACACAACAATAGAACTAGGGGTAAAACTAGGATAGATGTGGTTTTGGATAAGGGTTTGGAGCCAAGGGATGGTGGAAGGAGGCGGCTGACAAGCAGGCAACATCATGGTGGCTGTCTTTAAGGGTCTGGACAGCAGACCGGCAGCAGGAACAGCAGCTGTAGGGGCGTTTCTGGGTGACGGCCACAAGGAGGCAGGAGTGGAACGGCTGGGAAGGTTGGACCGGGACTGGAGGGCTGAGAAAAAAACAGCAGCAGGACTACTTTTATGGGGGAGGCAGCAAGAGGGACGGCAGCAAGGATGAAGGGGATCGATGTTGGAGAGAGCGGGGAAAGGGTAGAAGAAGATACATACAACCTCAGGACCGAGATATAGTTGGAGCATCGCTTGGATCCCTAAGATACAGCCCTAGAAGGGAAAAAGAGACGTTGACGGCTGTCCCGAAAAAAAATCAGCGAAAAAACTAAACCATAAAACACCAACAAAGCCAATAGATAGTCCTAGGTAACTAGGAGTGGGTCCCACTCCAATTGGATGCCATTCCTAAGGCATGAGGGTTTGGCTAGCCCTTCCAAGCCCTAGATTGAACCAATCAAGGACGCCCCGTGTCACAATCATAACAGTATCATTTAAGTCTATGGTTCCTTCGACTTGGAAGTTCTGATTCAATTTTTTCCTTCTTCAAAACCCAAATCTCAAATTAAAAAATGCAATATCATTTCTTTTCTAGAAAAAAAACAACAATGGCGTGCTCAACCATTCAGATTCATAGCTATGAAGCATGAACAGATGGATTGGAAGGTCCTGAAAACAAAAAATACAGATAAAAGAAAGTAATGAGTGTAATCGCCATTTTCTTCATGCCTTCAACAAAAAACACATGAGGCATGCAGCACGTTGATATGAATTATGGTTTTAAACTATATGTGGACAGAGCGATGAAGTTTTTTTTAATGATCTTTTCTACAATATCTATGTAATTTGAGTATAATTCTTCAATATTTCAAGTCCCGGGCACCTACAGAAAAAAATCAACAAATGACTTCATAAAATTTTTTATGGATGTCCAATTCATAACAAAAAGATAAACTATTTGAACATAATTATTTTGTAATTAGAGGTAAAATCCTATGCACCAGATTGATCAGAAAGAAACACATTCCCTCATGAGATTTTGTTAAAACAAAATATATTGCATATCCTCTAAAGATACTTTTGTACTAGAAAATAAGAAAGAACCAAAAAAAAGGGAAAAATTTTTCTATTATTTTCAAACTATCTACCATGCACCTCATTCACCGTTAACAAGGAAATGTTACATCCACTGCTTGGTGAAAGCCAATTCTATCCTCATCTGAATATGTGATATTAAGACAGCGGGGGAACTATCCCAGTTTAGCTTCATGAAACTTAATTTTACATTTTTCTAACACCACAAGAAAACTAAAAAAAGCAGGATAGTTATCACAGTAAAAAAGATCCATTACCTTCAGCTCATCCCGTTTCCTAGATTTCAACTGTGAAAGTTGTATCTCTGCTTCATGAAGGCGATCCTGAAGGACTCTCCGTTCAGCAGACAACTTCTTTATTTCCTCATCTTTTTCTGATCTGGTCCATTCAAGTTGATTTTCAACATCAAGTATCTGTTCAGTGAGTTCTTTCTTTTTCCAAGAAAAGCGATCCAATTCACCTTTCATTTCAATCTGCCATTCAGTCAGAAATGCCCATTTAAAATAAGCAAATAGCATGCAAGTAGCTCATACATGTATATTTTACCTTAAGGATGGAATTAGTCGCCTCAGACTCCTTTAAACTATGAACCAAATCAGCCTTCTCCCTAACCAATTTATCATGTTCGACTTTCCATCCTTCTCGTGAATGAATAAGCTCATCCTCCGTGGCACACAACTGGTGCCAAAGCGAAGCACGATCAACCTGTGCAAGCTGAGAAACTTCACGCATCATGTTAAGAACAAGTCGAGCAATCCCTTCTTCCTCCCTCACAAGGAAAACCAAAACATCCATATCAATATCAAATCCTTCGCAGCTCTCTGATGTATTATTAGCTGCACGATCAACAAGTCCTTTCAACATCCTAAGTTTGTAGTGCTCTTCAGAGTATATTTTAAACATTATTGCATACAGCATCCTCACAAAATCCTGAACTCTGGGATGTCGAGACACAGATAATACTCCACCGAGCGAAAGAATTGATGAAAAATCATCCTCATGGAATGAAAATTGCTCGTCATTTCCACCGACTAGAACTTGCTTGTCATTCGGATCATCGGCAGAAAGCTTAGATCTAACATCTAACTTGTGAGAATGACGCTTTTCTAAAACCATGGCAATTGATTGGAGTCCAATAGCCCCTTTAAGCAAAGCTTTTTCAAAAACCTCTGAAGTTTCAGCAAACAGATTAGAGACAGATAACATCTCAACCAATATGTAAACATCACAGATATGCAGGCACCCATCTATAATACGTTCCTGACTTTCATCTGTAGGTTCTGTGGGAAGTCCATTAACACCGTGGGAAAAATGTCCACAAGTTGTGGCCGGGCAGCTTCCATCAGGTTCACAATCAGAGTCGATTTCTCTTAAAAATAGTGCCGCGATATCTGTTGAAGTATGCATGGTTGTCGTTAAAACATCCAGCACACAGGTTGCGACATCGGTGCCAAGACTTTGCAGCCTAGAACGTACAGCTCTGACCTAAGGAAAATTAAAAAAGTATTAATCAGTTCATTAAAAAAAATTAATAAAACGTTGATAACCATTTAGATAAAATGTGAAATTTAGTAAGTGTTTTAACAAACGCACAGCCTGAGGAAAATGCTGACACCGAGCTGCAGCTTTAAAAACAAAGGAAATCACTGCCACAAGGGATTCATCATGAGAATCTGTTAGAATCTCAAGCGCTTGAAATAATAGATGTTCCCAAACATCACAGCCAAACTCCAATTGACTCAGAGCACCAAAAACCTAACGGACAAGAGGTCAACATGCATTAAATAATGGACAGATGAAATATACATCAAACTAAACAAGACTAGTTACGCATCACTTATATTAACATTTTTACACAAGAAATAGTGACGGTTTCTTTTGACTTTCATACCGGACTTAGTAGTGAAGGCTCCGCATCTGACTTCTGAAGAAAATCTAGAAGCGCATAAGCAGCGAGCGAATGCTCTGAATAATCCACCAACTTAGGCACCAGGGCAACCAGATCATGCAGAAGATGCTTAGGAGCTTTATCCAGCACAATTGCAATCTTCTGCACAGATTGAGGATGTCTCCTAGGTTCAAGGCATCCTTGAGGTGCAGGATTGTCTAGAGCTCTCAGTGAATTGACAATCAATCCTAAGAGTTCCTCAGATTGTTCCAGCCAATTTGTCTAGAAAAAAGAACAAACTCGAATAATAAATGCAGACAAAATATACTAAAAATGCTTTAAGGTATGCCGCTTAGGGAAAAGAGTAAAAGTGTCAAAATAGTCCCCTGACTATTTACATGCTTTAAGGTATGCCGCTTAGGGAAAAGAGTAAGTGTGTCAAAATAGTCCCCTGACTATTTACATGGGGACATTTTAATCCCGAGTCCATAAGAGTGACTAATTGATCCCCATAACCTTTTAATATAGCTCAAAGTGAAGACCAAAATGACAGTTTTATAGACTTTGAGACTACAATGACCCCCAACAACTGAGTCAGCGGATCATTTTGACACTTTCTCCTAGGGAAAAGTGTCTACCTTGGGAACTCGCAGAAAGCTATCATCAGTGGAAAGATCAGCAGAAGTTTCTGGAGGAAATATGATCTGATCAGGGTTATTTTTGCCAGAAGTCTCGATCATAGGCAAGTCTGAACTCTGAACTGCTTGAGAATGAGCAACTTCAACAGTTGCAGATCCCATTGTTCTGTACAAATAACGCTGGGCATTCTCTGTTACCTCAATTTCCCCGGTGAGCTCGATTGGTGAACTTGCTCCATTAGAATCTGAACAAACGTTTGGGCTTACTTCAGAATCACAATCATTTCTTCCTTCTAAAGGTTGGCAACACTCAACCATTATATCTAGAAGTAAATCAATGATAGCTTGTTGTAAGACTTTGACCCCCATCAACAAATTCATTAAACTAGGAGGGTCTGCATCGCCTGCCTCTACATCCTTCTTGTTAACATCACTTCCAGATAGTTTAGTGGGAAGAAGCATGCGCTTTATTTTAGCCGGGTCATCCAGGTAAATGCGTAAGCCCGTCAGAAATCCAGCAATTGCACCTGCATCCATTAGAAGCTTTTCTCTTAGAGTTACCTGAGGCTGAGATGGATTAACCCCGTGAGTGAGATGAAAACCAGCTTGGGAAAGAAAATTTCTAAACAAATCATCTTCATCAACACTAATGCCTTCACTATCTTCAGACTCTATTAGTTCGTCAGGGTCAGTTGACAATGCATCCTGATCATCCTCAGAAGCTAAAACCTGTCAGTGAGAATTAATTCACTCAGTCATGTAGGTTTGATCATGCATAGTAAAAAGAGAAATCTAGGCGTGCAGCAGAAAAAGGTTTTTCTTTACATAAACATGAATTCAACCGGAAGTCACGCAAAAAATCAGACCACTAAATGAAAGTACATTGCATAACTAAATTTTTAGAAAGAGGAATTCAGAATGCTTCACCCGTGCAGGTATGAGCTGAAAAAGTTAAGTTTATGCAATCAATATCGAGGAAAGTTGCAAGCGATAAGCTTGTGGAGAAAAGAAAGTAAAACAAACAGATATTTTATTAGGATAATGCTAGATCCATAAAAGGAGAACATATAAAGAACATGGAAAGAAAAAGAATAGGAGCAAAATTAAACTGGTTCTACACTACTTGAAAATCTACATAATCAATCGAGAAGAAGAACCTCCTTTCTAAAAAGTAGCACTGAGAGAAGAGATGGAGTGATGGTGATAATAAAGAGGCAACCAACAGGGGAACAAGAACTACTTTGCCATGTTGAATAAGCTCGTCTCAAGTAAATTATTTCCAAATGAAAAGTATTAGCAGCCTTTAATTTTATCAATCTAGAATATAATATATTTAATATTATGTTTTTAACTCATAATTCGAACAGGAATTCTAACTCGTCCTTCCTCATACATACATATACGTGTAAATGCACACACACACGAACACACGCACGAACACACGTGTGTGTAACATTATAAGAGTTTTAACATACTCCTTACTAACTTGATGCATACTAAATAGATTACCGTGCTACTCAATTATATACTTTCTCAAGATCAATAAAAATCATGTATTGCTTTTTTTTTTACTATTATACTTCTCCATTATTTATCTCAATGCAAAATTCACTTTCAAAGTTGGTTTACTAAACATGAAATCAAATTGGTTCTCTCAGACCGACATAACTTATATAAGCCAATGGTTTTCAATATTAATATCAAAATGTCTTTTCTCATCTGGTGTCGACTTTAATCTTCAAAATTTTATTGAAAAGAATTGCTATTTGGTTTACTAAACATGAAATTAAATTGGTTCTCTCAGACCGACATAATTTATATAAGCCAATGACTTTCAATATTAATATCAAAATGTCTTTTCACATCTGGTGTCGGCTTTAATCTTCAAAATTTTATTGAAAAGAATTGCTAACTCAATTACTACTATACCGATGAGCTATAGCATTGACAATAAGCTCATCTAAAGTCAAAGTCCAACAAGCGTACCTTTATATACTTGCATGAACTTTATAGGCACGTAATGTCTAATTACATATTCATTATTAATAAAATTATTCAAGACAAATTTAACTAAGCATAAAAAAGTCTTTACAATACCTCTTATAACCCTGATATGTACCTTATTTGGACCTAAAGCCTAAATTTTACGCATCTTCTTAGAAGCAAACTCTTTTCACTACTTTTGATCAATCCATAATATATTTTATTATATTATTCATTATACTCTTCTAAAATAATTTTTTTTGTTAAGCTCTCACTTAGTAATTCTCAAAAAACTATTCTATCATTTCTAAATGTCTTCACCTTTAACCACGATCATACTATTTTTGCTTCCAATGCATATAACTTGATCAAAACCTCAAGATCATTTATCACTTATTTTAACTATTCTATTCAGTCCATTTTCCTCTTTAGTAACAAGCATATTATACAAATCATTAAAAATCGTGACTTTTTCTTTGCTCACAACACTCTTCACAAACTTAAGCTTTCTTACAATAATCACATGGAAATTAGGAGTCTTGCAAAGATGATTGTGCAAAAAACAAAACTTATAGTTTTTTAGTTGTTACACAATAGCTAGATAATAAGCAAAAATAAAAAATAAAATGCAAAAAATAGCAATAGCAAGTGAGAAAGAGAGCTTTTAGTACCTGATCAAACTAAAATATTAAAAAACTTTAAAAATAAGATTTTAGTTTAAGTGAGTTTCAGGAAAGAAATTTTCTAAAAATGCAATGAATAGAATCTCAAGTATATTATGAATTTATACCAAAATATGAAGTTAACACTAAATAAAATCCATAAAAATAAACTTCAGTTAAGTCAAAAGACTATTAAGATTTGAAAAGTTATGAAAGACACTAAAAATGTTTACATAAAAATTAATTTTAATAAAATCATAAAACGAATGCAATACCAAATAATTAGAGAAAACATTTTTTGTACAAGTATTGAAGAGAAGGGAAGTTCTTAAGGGAGGCATTTAAGTTAATGATTACATAGAGTCAAAATAATGGGTCCAAAATAAAATAATTAGTAAAGGCAATAGAAATTTGGTTTATAAATCATATCAAGATTAGAGAAAAAACTGATTTTATATGAAAGAGATCTATTGTACACGTGCTTTTTGTCCCAAGATGATAAATGGAGAGATATGCAAAGAAAGATCCTCATATGATTTTTATTAATCTTAAAAAGAAATGATAAAATACAAGGATTGATTTGGCATTCATTAACATAAAAAAATAACTAATGTGGAAAGATTCTCAAACATAATAGAATTGTATCAATGATCAACATTAAATTCATATCTTTCAGTACTATTCATGAAAATACATTCAAATGATATTGCATCATTCAAAAGTTTTGTAGAAGATTGACGATTCTAGATCAGTAGAATAAAAATAATATCTAATATGTAAATTTTAAAACACAGGCTGTTCAAAATCATCAACCACAGAAGCTAAAAGTTTAATAAACACTTGGGTATTGATAAGTTGAATTTCTCTACGAAATAGATAAAGATATAACTTTAAGAGTTAATATTGTGAAAATAAAAATAGAGATGTGCCTTATGAGTACTGTCCAATAGGAGAATAAAATGAAAATTTAAAGGATGTTTTTATAAAGTTGAAATTAGACTGACCAAGTAGTTTACAAAATTGATTGTTGGGCAATTAACAAGTCCTTGATGACCAAGCATAAAAAAGAGAAGATAAAGATGCACGTCTTCCAAAAATAATGAATATAGATTAAATTTGAATTTATAAAAGAGTATGGTGAGATAACACACAATCAGAAAAAAACTATATGACAGATTAGAGATATCAGACAAACCAAAACTAATATGATAAGTTGCGAAAAGATTTACCTAAAAAAGAGCTAATACCTCATACAACACAAAATAAGATAAATATTGGAGAATGAAGATCAACCGAAGTGACCCCGAAATAGTTGGAACAAAGGTAGTGATGACTATGATGATGATGACTTTTGGCAATAATAACGTGATCATGTCACTTCATTCTTAAAACATAAAATGGAAATAAATGAAAAGCCATATACAACAAGTAATTAATTGGCAGAATTCAGTTGGTCTAAATTTCTCGAAGCCAACAAAGGTCTCTAACAATAAAGAATAAAAACAAGTAACCATCTGACCAGATTGAACTTTTTTAAATGAGTTTTCTAAAAAAAAAAAAATAGCGGCCGGTTCAAGAATTTGGATGAACTTACAGTTTCGGCCGTATAAGAAACAATGCATAAATAAATAGCTGAAATTGGTATCATTTGACTTTATTATATGACGCAGATAAAAATTATGATACATTCAGTTCTTCAACAACAAACATCTTGTGTTGATCTGCAAGCCTTTTCTCAAAAAGAAGAATGCAGTTTAACTAGTTTAGATTTTCACGTGTCTAGTGAATAGCTATATAAAATAGAGTTATCAAATAAATAAATAATAAATACAAGTTTTTCAAACTTGATCTACAAAAAATAACACATGACAAATTCATCACTTGAACCTTCTAACCTTTAAATCAAAGGAAAATTCATGAATTAATGCTTTTGATTGGCTAAATAATTTCATGCTAATCCGCAGTATTGCTGGACATTAAGAGAATTTATTCAAAAAAATTACCTCTTAAGAAAATCCAACTAACCACCTAGGAACATACATCAATATTCTGGAGGCCCATTGAAATGGAAACAAAAAAATTGCTTCAAAGCATTAACAACAATCCACAGGTTTAAACTGTCCACGCTAATCTCAAAAAAAATGCAACTATCGATTATTTCAAGCATAATTGTAGAGCGTTTCAAATAATGTCTATGGGTTAAAGACCAAAATAATCCCTTGACCAATCCGATGGAGCCAATTTAACCCTAGTTTCACAATTTCCGAGGAGGACCATTTTAAATCAATTCATTATAAATGAGTGACTAAATTGAGATCTATTTTGTTGAGGGACCATTTTTCAATCAATTTTGTATAGACGATGAACTAAATTGGAGAACTGCAATACAGTGGAAACTCAATTTACAACATGAATGGTCAGAGGACTATTTTGGAATTTCAAAAGTTCAAAATTATAATAAAAAAGATAAATTACTTGGGCCTCCACAAAAGATTGCAAAAATTACACTTAACACTGCTATTTAATTAAAAACTACTCTATCCTATCCCATAACATTAATATAATTTACCTAAATGGTTGATGTCCATTAGAGAAAATTTCATAACATTGCTTGTTGTGCAATATTTTGACAAGTTTTCTATTTCACCCTTTATCGAAGCATTCAACCATTGAAGAGCTTGGCACTTATTTATGAAGAGAGTAAGCTCTAAATAAACAATTCATGAGGCAATGCTTCATCCTTTCCTTATCAACCATGCCTATTTATAATTTTTGGCTTCATCCTCCATAACATCAATATCAGGCAGGATATATACTCTCTGTTGTGGCTTCTAACTGTTATGCAGTAGAATTCTTTCTGCTTAATTGTGTTAGTTTCATGCAGGATTTGTGGACTCAGACCAACTCCAAGGCCAATTGGTTTATGTCTGTGTGTAGGAAATTAAAGGGAATGCTATAAGTATATTTATAGCTCTTAGACCTATACATGGAAGGTTAAGTCATCTTGACTAAAATTCTAGTTAGAAGTGTTACTCCTATAGCTTCCAGGAGTTAAATCCTTGAGCAAGTGAGAGGCATTAGGAT